CTTTCAATTGTGGTGGACCTAGTGTTTCATGTCAAGAGCACTTCCATTAGAAAGTGCATGTGGTGAGGGCGGCATATAATAACTCATTCCAGGCACTGCGTGAGCAACCCAGTCGTGAGTCTAATACTAAATGGGTGGAGCTGCAATATTCCACCCCCTCCTTCGTCCTGTTACCCACAAGTGGGGCGGTCGTCGGTCCAGCACGCCTCTTAAACGCCTTTGCGAATGGCTTCCAGACATGAGACACTTATATATTCATACATACACACTCTTGTATCCAGAAAAATTATTTTGAACAATCATTCATATTAAATATAATCTTACGGTATGAAATCAGAGGATGATCTGAGTAACGACCTAAATGCCGCGCACTTCCAGTCAGAGCTTCTGCGCGGGCCTTCTGTTGTGACGTCATCATAACTCTTCCATTCTTACTTTCACTCTGGCGGCCACCAGGACGGACGATGCTTCCGTCTCAACATAACAGCTATCACATTAGAACTACTGTAGGCGCATGCCTGGCCCTTCCAGATGACTGTATGCTACACGCCAGTCATCGAGGCAGATGAGGACATTCTTTATTGTTTGGTTCATGATTAAAACGGGGTGTGCACGAAGCCCAGGTTCAAGGTTCAAGGTTCGGGCAGGGTTGCCAAAAGAGAGTTTATAAACTAACAGTAGCCATGGCAACACTAGACTCTACTTACTCGTTACTCATACCGCAATCTGGAATATTCTAACCCTAATAGTTTGTCTACGCTAAATTTTAAAGAGATAGATGGAAGAATAACGTATTGATGTCATACTACGTTAAAATGATTAAATGATCCCCAACTAGAATGGTAAACGCCATTCATAGAACGGGTAACTACTTAGCACGTTCCTAGCTTTCAATATTGAAGATATATAAGGAAAAGCTATTCCTTAACTCGAGTTATCAGGCTTCCAATTGACATTAGCTGTGGCATCACACAGAGAAGGGAAACGAAAGATCCGGTGCTTAACAGAGAGTGCGGTCTGGAGAGAGGAAACGCGCGAGGCCCTGGTGGTCGCCATGATACTCTGTCCTGCACAAACTCCCCCACCCACTCGGACAGCTCTGCCGTTACTCGGAGCGACTGAGTGAGATTAGAAACGGCAGATGGTGAGAACTATCTTAGTTTAGATAAGCGCCCCATGATTGGCAGGCTTCGTGCCAGTATTGCGTGATGCTCTGGTTACATCCCCTTTCATAACGACGTTCAAAGTGAGCAATGTGATTCCAATACCAATCAAATGAATAAAAAATAGCTTTTCTTTAAATAGATTGATCTTACATTGAAACAATGCAATTCGAACTTCACGATGTGATGAAAAGCAGATTGAATCATATTGTGACTTGATCACAGAACAGACTCGACAATATTCCCGTCACGATGATTGAGCTTCTTCAACACCTCTCTCAATTCTCATCATTGATCTATTTCAGTCGGCAGAATCAATCACAGATGCACGATGAAAGCTTTCTGCGAGAAATGTTGAAACAAGCACAGCGGTTTGGGTGTTGGCATTGTCCAAAGAGAGGGTAGTGCACTCACAAGCTCAGAACCTCTTGAAATGGGGAGATAAGACTATCAATATGAGTGAACATCTCCGTCGGTTACCCATCTCCGCCCTCCAGCGGCGTCGAATAAGCTGCTCCAGCCTCCCTTCTTCCTCCACACTTGATCCTCTCTCCATCTACCCTGTTCGGAAATGGCACCGATGTTGGCACGTCTCACCATGCTAGACTGCATTTATTTTACCCCACGTTGTCATTTCGTTAAGACTTAAGACTAAAAATGTGTTAATCCGTGCTCTAGGCCTCCTGTTCGCTTGGCTATGTCGGATATATTCATGCTTGTTGTGCATTCACTGACGTCAACCCTCGCACAAATGGGGAGCCACAGGTCCTTTCGAAGGAGAAGCTATTGTTTTTATAAAGAAGACGTAGTATCTAGCTCGGATGCCATATGATAGTGTTTCCAATACATCTAACGTTAGACGTTGACGTCATTCAGGTGCTTACTTTTCAAAGTAGGTTAGGCCTACGCATGGGCATTAAGAACTGGCTACTTCAGGGACCATGGAAGTTTTAGAGCCGAAGGTGGACAAGTCTTCTGTTATCATAGGGACAGAGCCTAGGCCCCCCTACTATGTAGGTTTTGACAATTGCACTCAATACTTTAGTCCTAGGCCTATCTTTGGGAGCCTTCGGATGCTTTTCAAAGTAGGCCAATCTTGACCAGAAACAAACAGCCTGCAGCAACAGAACAACGAGAAGTAGGGGGAAAATCCTAAGTGATGTGCATGTCTGATTAAAAATGATAGTATACAAAGTGCTTGAAGTGAAAATTGCTCAGGAATAACAGTTAAGGTGCAAGTCTGAAAATTCACATAATGGGCATCCCTGTTGCCTTTCTGCCTTTTAACAGCTAGAGACAACCCAATGCTGATTCAATTAATGCTTTCTTATTATTTTTGTGATTTCATGGCACAAAACCAAATACAAATTGAAAGATCTCTTAACCTTCATTTGGTGTGCAGTGGTTGGTGAATTCAAGAGTCTTCACAGGGTGAGTGCATAAATCCAAATAGATTCAAGCTTCTCTTTGTAGTGGAAGTTGAAACCTCATATTGTGATGCCATGCTTGTTTTGTTATGTTTGTGATCTTTTACCTACTTTCTCATAATCATTGGCATACCCACCATGAATGGAGGTGTGAGGTGGTCTCCCATGGGTTAAAAGAAATAAAACAGGGGTTTTGTAATTGGGCCTTTTATTATTGCCATGTTGATCAGAACTAGGAAGCAGAATGAAGTTGAAGGGGTGTAGCTCAAGAAGTAAATATTCGATTCATGTCATCAGAGTAGCAATATAGCTGGGAGAGAGAGGAGGCCCCAGGTAATTTCTCTCTTCATTGGTGTTTCACTGGCTGAGTAGATCTAAGACTCATGACTAGCAAAGAGGATTAGATGAAAATACATTTTTTAAAGGCACTGGGATGCTGCTTGATAACAAAGTAGTTTCCTTTGCTTGTGACTTATTCCCTTTAGTTGGTCTGCTTTGGAACCCCCACCATGACTAATTTAGACCTCTGAAAAGGTTGTCTTGGTGATGCCACAGCTCAAAGTGCATTATATGACAACAAGAAGATATTGCATGTGGTGTCTCCTTGAGATACATTAGTGTTTCATGTGATACTATGAATCTTTGTCCTTTAATTAACCATGTTTCATTTGTATCTATCTGTACAATGATCTGGTGGACATCTGTAGAGGAGACAGTACTTTGATGCATAGTACTCAAGCTTGCATTTCTCAGCTTTGGCCATTGGAGTATCAAGTTACTGAAAATTCTTGACATGCATTTGGCATTTCTTGGTAACCTGTTTTACTTTTTCTGAAAATTTCTGGCATAATCATGAAGGGCCATGCATCTGACATTGTATCCTTGCATAGGAGGCTTAGAGGAGGGTATAAAGGTAAAGTCAGAGAAACTAAGAACGAAGGGGGTCTTTTAGGTATATGCACTTTAGCAGTCAAGTTGGTGGGAGTAGATGAGTATTGGATTCCATGGGAAAGAAGGCAAAGGGCCTATCATCCTTAATATATAGCCTAATGTCATGGCATCATAAAGAGGGGGAAACCAAAGGGGAAAGAGAGCATCCTTTCAAAACATTTAGTCCCTGGATAGAGGAGATTTGCCTGTGATGTCATTACTGTAGTGAATTCTTGAACTTATACCTTTGTTGACACCCCTATGCAACTTCTGTTTCTACTTGTTCGATTTGGGTATCATTTCACCTTTATCTAACATGTTACAAAAGCTTTTTTTTTATTATACGGTAGGCCTAGGGATTGGGTAACCTTTAGGCCTCAGGCCTTGAAATGAAATCATGAATAAAAAAGAGCTGGGAATCAAGATTAGTTGGCACCATGATAGACCCAATGCCTAGTTTAGACCTACCATATTCATCTGCCAATACTGGCAAAGTCTTGTATGAGAGATGATATAGGCCCTGTGGTCATTTATAAACTACAAGCATACCTTTTTTTCTTTATTAGCCTAAATCAATATTTCCTAACATCTAATGGGTTACATGAGGTGCTTGGTTGACCATGTCTTTTTTCAGGCTTCTCCATATAGGTGCAAGTTAGAGGTTACCCAGTGTTGCTTAATTTTCAGCTCAGTCATTCATTAGCCCATTTTTGAAAGTCACTCATTCAGTATTTGAAAGTCACTCATTCAGTCACCTATATGCTTTTAAGAGACTGGTTTGTAAAGTACTTAGTAGGATAATTAAATGTTAACACAAGTCAGTATTAGATTTATTCCACAATGATTTCAGAGTTATTTCAGGAATCTGAATTTATTTCAAGTGAAACTCAGGCATGAATTAGTTGTGATACAGTTTTGTTTGAAAAGGTTTTTAACATTAATCTGAGTAATTTTCAGATGACTGACACCCTTCCATGACATGATCTATGTATGGGTCTTGCAATCAATTAAAAAGATTGAAATTTGAAAATAAAGCCTTTATATGCAAATCCTATATTCAAATTATGTGGTTATTATGCAGTTGAACCAAATTTATTGAATTGTTAAGTGATTCATAAGCATTTCAGAGTATCATACCATATTTAGCAGATAACTACCTACCATATATAGTCCCAGTCTGAAGATGTACCTCAACCTTATCCCTTTCAGCAAGTAAGCATAGTGTTTATTGTACATACTTGGAGGCTTGCTCTTAAAGTGATATTTCACCTTTAAACCTTCTCTCTTTGTGGAAACAACTCTGAACCATTCCATATGACATACCTCACACAGTAGCATAAGTCAAAAGATACTAGTAGGCATTCTTTGGTCTTTAGTCCTATAGCATTTGGGTTTCTGTTTGATCAAGCATAGGCATGTGGACCTGAATGGTTTGTTCATGTGTATAATTTGCAACTCATGAGAATTTCATCATTGGTCGTTTGCAGGGTTTCCTTGAGATATATATATAATCAACATATCTCAATGTGATGATTGAAGATGAAAGTGAATAGAAATCCCTCAGTGGCAGCTAAGTTTCTGAACCAAGTGCTAATATCATGCTAAGGGATGTTCATTGTGGAGTGAGAACCAGCACACGCAGGACTAGGAAAAGGATTTTCGTAAATATTGAGAATAAAATTCCAACATTATGAGCTGATAAGTGAGAGACAGGTAAAGACATATCTGTGATGTCTGCTTCTCCGACATTTGTCGACAAAATCGACCCTTTTGCAAAGAGGTCGATGAAAAAGAAGCAAAAGAGATCCCAAGGTTCATCAAGATATCGAACTGGCCAGGAAGTAGAGCTTCAGCCTTTGCCTTTGATAAAAGGTAAGCCAATTTTTTTTTAGTGCCATATATATATATATTTTTTTTTTTCATGCCTAGGTCTATTCTAATCTTATTATAGTGCTTCCAATTACAGTAGAATGATGTGTACTATTTGCAATTTTTGTGTCACTTAATTCATAAGCCAATGTGACTTAAAGGCTAAGATGGTTGTGGAGAAAAAATATGAAATGATTACCTAGATTCACTATGGCAGTGTTATATTAACAGTAAAGGCCAGGTGCCAGGATTGTGGAATCCAATGCATGCTTTATCCTTTGGAGTCCTCCATGTTTACTTCAAAATGAAAATACTGCAGCAATTTTTGTGTTCCCCTTGACTGCAACCAGTAGTTGGTCAGAATACAGAAAGAAGGTCTCCCCAAACATACTTTCAGTTTATTCTTCCACTTGATAGCTTTTCTCCCTCTGATTGTGTATTATTGAGGTAGGGGCAATATGTGTATCACCTTTGTTATGCTAGAAGGGCATGAGTGCCTCTGAGGTTACTTTTCAGTAGATGACAAAAACTGCTGAAAATTTTTGTAACAGTCCTTCATTAACAGTCCCAACTTTTATAAAGGTTGGACAGTTTTACCAAGCAAAGTTCAGCATGGTGCTAATAATGACTGTTACACATATTTTCAGAAGTTTTTGTCGTTTACTGAAAAGCAACCGCAGAGGCACTTATGCCCTTCTGCATTACACAGGCAATATATTTGTTTTGCAGAGGTAATGGTATTTCCTTTGTTTTTTTTTAAAATGTGGTTTCTTCTATTTGTGGGCTAGTTTTTGAATATCCTGAGGGTATATACCTTGTATAATGTTTGAACCTTTGTGATTGCGAAGAACAATGTGATTTTCTCTCTAGATGTTCCTGCTTCAGAACAGGAAGAGCTCTTTATCCGCAAGCTTCGTCAGTGCTCTGTCTTCTTTGACTTCATGGACCCAGTGGCTGACTTGAAGGGCAAAGAAATAAAGAGAGCAACTCTCAATGAGCTTGTGGATTACATCACTGCAGGACGAGGGGTGCTCACTGAACCTGTGTATCCAGAAATAATCAAGATGGTATGTGAACTCCTTGCCTAGGCCTATCAGTTAGACTGCAATGAGGAAGAGAAACAGACATAATGCTGTTTTATGACTATTTCTTTCTACCCTCTAGATATCATGCAACCTGTTCAGAACTCTCCCACCAAGTGACAACCCTGACTTTGATCCTGAAGAAGATGACCCTACTCTGGAAGCATCATGGCCACATTTGCAGGTAAATTTTTCACATGGATATTGAACTGGTGTCACACAAAGGGCAATGATTGATAAGAAATCATCCTTATTGGGTTATTGGGAAATTGTGTACATCAAATCTTGACATCAATCCATTCTCCAAGTGGAATGTTCCATGTGACTGGGACTCATCCCATAGCTAAATGTTTACTTCTATGTATACCGGTAACAATACACCCTGTCAAGTTTGTGGTTTCTCCACATGCCTAGTATGGATAATAATGATTTATGTCTTTCCATGTGTTGGTTTATATTATTCCTAATTTCCCCTCAGGCCTTCTAAAAGCATCACATGATTAAACAATGCTAGAAGAATGTTCTTCTCATGTGTCCCATTATCCCTCTTCTCACAGCTCGTGTACGAATTCTTTCTCCGCTTCTTGGAGTCCCCTGACTTTCAGCCTGCTGTTGCCAAGAGGGTCATTGATCAGAAGTTTGTTCTGCAGGTAAGAAGCAAACAATCATGACACATTTGTTGCTTTGTTGCATTATTTGTATTTTTCTATCTTTAACATGGAAATGTCTTTTCTTTTAGCTTCTGGATTTGTTTGACAGTGAAGACCCAAGAGAACGAGATTTCCTCAAAACTGTACTCCACAGAGTCTATGGGAAGTTTCTGGGCCTTAGATCCTTCATTCGGAAACAGATCAATCATATCTTTCTCAGGTGACCTGACTTGAAATTGTGCCATTCCTTAGGTTTTCTTTGTTTCTTCACCCCATTTCATTTCATTCATGTTGTATTTCAGATTTATCTATGAAACAGAGAAGTTCAATGGTGTGGCAGAGCTATTAGAGATCCTTGGAAGGTTGGTAACTGACGAATTTATATTGATGTTATTTAACAGAGCAATGATGTTTCCTCTTTTTTTCTTAATTAGCATCATCAATGGCTTCGCCTTACCATTGAAGACAGAACACAAGCAATTTCTATGCAAAGTGCTGATCCCTCTTCACAAAGTCAGGTGCTTATCCATGTATCATGCCCAGCTGGCATACTGCATTGTCCAATTCTTGGAAAAGGACCCCACACTCACTGAACAGGTTTGCATTCCTCCTTTCCATTTTCATTATTGACTTTGTTATAGTAGATTAGAGTTGGTCCTATGCATCTTATTTAGGTGATCAATGGGCTATTGCGGTATTGGCCCAAGACGTGTTCCCAGAAGGAGGTCATGTTCCTAGGTGAAATTGAAGAGATCTTGGATGTGATTGAGCCAGCTCAGTTCCAGAAGATTCAGAAACAGCTCTTTCAGCAGATTTCGAGATGCGTGTCTAGTCCACATTTCCAAGTAAGTATATAGGCACTTATCTTTGAATTTTGATCAGGGATGGGGCAACAGGAAGTCATTTGTGTCATACCTATTCCTATATCTATGCCCATACTGAACTTGAAACATTTTTAAGTACTTATCTGTACAAATACCTTTGCTTTCTTGAATTTGACTTTGTTTTTTTACCCCTTGCTAGTGACTGGGTTTTTGCCAAGAAATTTCCTAAACTGGGTGGGCCCATTTTTGGATCAATATCTATGTAGCAATTGATCCAGCCCCCACTTCCAATTTTCCCCCTTCTGGCTTGACCAGATATAAAAACTGTCTGGAGACATGGAAGTAATGTCTTATGTTGGGTTGTCAATTTTATTTTTCCAGAACCAGATAATAATAAAAATTGAATTAATTTTCTTTCCCTTGCTCAATCTGCATTTTTTATTGTCAGAAGGACTCAGTCCATGAGTATGTCCATGTCTGTTCTTTGAGGAAATAATAGCCCCAGCCAAATTTTTCTATCTCCATGGATGATAAACAGAAAATCTATGCTTTTACATGCCTTTCAGTTTCTTTCTGAGGAATAGTATTTTCACATCATCTCTCTCTCTCTTATGAAGATACAGACACTCAAGATGAGTGTCTTGCTGCTTCAGTCCTCACATTCACCAATGACTAGTTTGTAAGCTGTCAGAGAAGCCTAAATTCCTGTTCTGGTGATTTTTTAGGTCTTCTAATTCTTCATTTATGCTCTTTATGATAATGTAATTTTTTTTATCTTCTTGCTATGATGCACTCTTCCACATCACTAGAATGTCACCAAAACTGTTGATCATCAGATGTGTTGTTGGGAAATTTGCCTGCAGCAGATTTCCCTTTGAATTGAATGATCTGTTGTTTTACTTGAATCTTACCTGTGAACCTTCAGTATCCCAGCATGTATTACCTTGCAATGTTTGCAAGGTAATATAGTGGTTTTCAGATGGACAGCAATAAAGTATTTTGGAAGATGGTTCTCAAATGTAGGTCCTGTTGTAGTTTGGGCTAGTTATTAAAGTTAATTCCAAAACCTTGAGGAGCACTTAGTGCAATTTGCACAATTATCAAGGGTCACAAGAGGTCAGACCATTTTGAAGAATATTTCCAGGTGGCAGAGCAGTTCAACAACTCTGGCCATGTCGTAACTGACATGAAAGTGGACATCTTGTAAGAGGAGGAAGAGGAGGCACTCTTATTTTTATTTCTGATTCTGAAGGAGACCAATTAATGGTCCAAACATCAGAAGAAAAAAAACATTTATGCTCCTATATTGTCTCTTGGTATGTATGTTGATGCCATTTCAAAATGCCCTACACACAGACTCTACTACATTACAACTTATATGAATCTGTAGCTTGTTTCTGTTATCTATGCTTATAACTACACCAATAATCCATAGGATGGCTATCTCTCTACCTCGAAAGTTCCTATTGGGTCTAATATAGTTGTAAATCTTCTGTTACCCTATCATACTTGTGATCAAGCAGGTTATTAAGTTGTATATGATGGCTTTATCCTATCTCTTTTGCTTTGCAGGTTGCTGAAAGGGCCCTTTATTTCTGGAACAATGAGTATATCATGTCCCTGATAGAAGAGAATAATGCTGTGATCATGCCCATAATGTTCCCCGCTCTGTATAGAATCTCCAAGGAACATTGGAACCCTACAATAGTAGCTCTAGTCTACAATGTTCTGAAAACTTTCATGGAGATGAATTCCCGCCTCTTCGATGAACTCACATCATCTTATAAAGCGGAAAGGCAAAAGTGAGTTTTCATCTCATTTTATTAGTCAGCTTTTTTTTGCCCTTAATGCCTGGGAAGATGATTGAGAGGTGTCATCATTTGCTTCTTGTGTTGCAGGGAAAAGAAGCGAGAGAAGGACAGGGATGACCTATGGAGGAAGCTTTCTGAGCTGGAATTGAATGACAGGCAACTGAAAAAGTCCAGTGCAAGCACTTCCTCGTCAAGCAATGCCACAGTTAGGGTGGAACACCCGGTCAAAGTGGAACACCCAACTTCATAAATCTCCCGCATCCTGGATGCTAGGCACTGTTTTTTTCTCTTTGTTTTTTTCCCCTCCTCCTTCCATCTACTTTCAACAGCACGAGTGAGGGATCTAACTTCTGAGGAGCTGTTTCTGTGAGCATCGACTTCTAATTTCTTTTTCTTGCTCATTGATCGATCCGATACGAGGTGTAATGTTTTTAGAGCTGATGGATTGAACTTCAAAATAATGCAAAGAATTGAATATCAAATGGACTGCTTTCCTCCCATTTGTTGCTGTCAGCCTTATATCTGTGTTCTATGGCTTTTTATCATATCTGGGTGCCATTCTCAAGGAAAGAGTAACTTGAGAGATTTTGAACATAGTTTGTCATCACCCTTGTCAGATTCATGATTGTGTCTCTTGATTCCTTCAGTGACTTTGCACATTACAATCCTTTGACTAATTTTGTCATGATTAATTCTGATTTTGGTGCTTTTATATTGTGGCATTATAAGTTTCAGCCCAGCAAGAGGAAGTGTGCTAAGTTTTTTGATTCATGGATGACAATAACTATCCTATGCCATCCCTTCATTCAATACTGAATCAATTCTGCCAAGTTATTGAACTTCTAAGTTTATGGCTCATTGTAAACAAGATGGTTGATCCTCGTGGAGTTGGGGACTGATGCTCATGCAAGACAGTGATGGTCATCATGTTGAGGAAAAAGATTCTACCAGGAGCACCTGTTATAGGGTTTTCAGTCTGCATGCTAGGCTTTTGTGCAGAGAAACCATTTTGATTCACCCTCCTAGGTATTGTTTCATTCCTGTTCTCTTTAACTATATGAGGTTCTCAGCTGCTGTTAGTTTGGGGGAGGATTTTTCTTTATATTCTGTCTCTCTTTCCTTGTGACTCGAGTGAAAGGATCTTTTTCCAGGATAAGCATAAGCATCCAGATGTGTTCCACACGAACAGCAAGAAAATGTCGTTCAGGGGGATGAGGAGAAGGCAGAGGGGAAACATGAACTATATAATGATTGATTCAAGGGTTTATTTTTGTCCTTTTTTTGTCGTGATTCAGTTGCCTCCTCCTCCTCCTTCAACCCCTGCTGCTATTTCTGCCGGCATTATCCCTGTCTCTATTGGCTGTCTTGTGTGGAATGCTACTTAGTTTACATTCAGTGAGATGAGTGAAATAAAGGATTCAGACAACTGTTTCCATATGGACATTTTCAGTTTATTTCAATTCCATGTCATGCTTCAGTCTTCATTGATTTGAAGGAGTGACAAATTAGGATGGCTTACAGTCTTATATTTTCGAGCAACTAGGCTCGAGAAGTTCGAGATAGCTCATGGTTTGGATAAGGTTTTCACATGGCTAATGCTCCTTTGTTCTTGTTCATCAAACAGTACCACATGGAAGTTTTGTATTTTACTGGGTTCCCTTATCCTTTGTGTGCCTGAGTGAGAGCAGAAATGGTATTTAAAACATTCTCATCATAAGCCCAATTTCTTCGTCAGAGAAGCAACAAAAATTACATGCTGTCCCAGGTAAATTAAGAGGAACTTAGAAATAGATTAAAGAAGAATGTGCTGAAAAGGGCAAATTTTGGTCGAGGAAATTACCCCTTAAAGGGAAACCTGGAAAATGGAAATTTATTCACAAATACTTAGCATGGTTGTACCGAGTGGTTAACATCTCGGTGAAACACTTCTTTCTGGAAGTGACGGTACACTTATCCATTATTTTTCAGCATAGGTGCCGAACCGACGGGGGCAAAGGGGCCCAACAATGTTATCGGGGGGGGGGGGGGGGAAAGTTCAACGAAAGTATGGGATATAGAACATGGGAAACAAAATGCCGTTTCACGAAAAATATGATATTCCTATCTGTTTAGTGCTCCAACTGAGATCCTCGTCACCACGTAAGAGTATGGGGTGGAAGGGCGAGACCCTTGGCCCTCTCCGTGCCCAGCAAACCCCCCCCCCCCGCTCGTCACGCAGCCACCATAATAATACTGAGCTACCCCACAGGATCCTGGAACGATTCCGTCGACGTTATTTCAGGGGCATTAGGACCTTGCCCCCCCACTCCGATTTTTAGATGGTCGGCGCCTATGTTGGTCAGTATCTCTACAAGGCTGTTCGATTCGACAGGGCGTACTGGGTGTGCCTGATAGGGCTGAGTATGGGAAAAAAAATTGCCTGAAAAGATTCCAGCTTTCTGAACATTATTCCATGAAGTCACATGTTCTCCGCGTCACTTGACGGGAGGGTACAAAGAACCCCTTAGCACGAAATCGTATGCCGTGAAGTTCTGACATCTAGCGGTCATTCGCGCATGTGACACTAGAGGCCAAAGAAGAGAGATAGAGCAGCAGTCTCGCGCGTCATCTTGCCATGTGCCGCACACGCTGGAGTAGATCAGCATTCGTGCTCTCGCTGCCTTTTCCCGCTCTTCGTCAACCTTGATGGGAAATAGAATGAAATAAGTCTGTTCAAGTAATGGATACGACGCGATAACTATAAGTCGATAAGCCATCGCATTAATGAGCGTATCGACCGTTTTGGCAGACAATCACCTCTACCCGCTTCGCGATAGACAAGTAGAGCCTGTGCAAAATAACTATCTGTCTACAAATGATCGTAACGAAACGTTTCCGATATATGTATGACGCTCTTGTCTGCTTTCATGCCTCTTCAATCGCGATTTTCAAAAACTTAGCATGGAGGAAAGACTGTTCCGTACGAACGTGCACTCTTGACGTGTCAATAATCATGACGCCGGGGGGCTGTCTCATCGAGTGCACCCAAAAGCAAGATTAACTTCGAATACGGAAGGCAGGGGAAGAAGCAATGTGGGCTTAATTCGCGAAGAATCGCAAGAGCGGCGGTTGGAGGAATCCGGACAAGACGATCCTTATGCAGCTGGATGCGTCGAAATGAAGAGTCGGAGCGGGCTGTCTCCCCTCCCTCCCCCTCCCCCCCCTTCGATGCGTCCTCATTCACAGATGTAACGCCACTTGTTATTTCTCCCCTTCTTTCCGCCCAGCAGCATCGGCAACTCGAGAATCAATCGATGTGTGCACTGCACTGGGAGCCGGCAATTAACGAAGCGGAGTGCGATGGCATCGGGCATTGTTAACACACACCGGAGCATTGAAAAAACGCCGACGCCTTAGTGACGTCACGAGAGAGGGAGAGCAATGAGTGAAGAGAGTACGAGTTGAAAATGGCGATCTGTGTGACTTGTTTGTGATGGGTGCTTCTCTCGTAATCGGCTCCTCACGCCGCTCAAACTGATTTCGTATCTGTGATCACTCTTCTGCCTGTTATGTATTTATTCTCTTGTGTGGAGACGGGCAATAACGAGGCATCAACATGGCCAACAACATGTATAGAGTTGGAGGTGAGTTTCCGGTCCGGTCGGACGACCGCTCCATGGGTCAACCGCTTCGTAGCCCTATATGATGCGTCGGCTTAGCCTAAGCTAGGCGAGCCTGTCTACGGAACTGGCATTTGGGCCTAGCCCTATGCGTATGGCTGGGTCATTTTAAGCCTGTATTGTCAGGCGTAATGTTTGGCTTATCCTTAAGTGCGGACCACTGCCTACGCTTGTATTGTGCACGGGAGTACGTTTAGGATTGCACCAACTTAATGGTGATAACCCTATGAAACCCTTGCAAAAAAAAAAGAAGTAAATTAAAATAAATTTTGATATAAAATTAAAACATTGTATTACTTATTTAAAAAAATCCATCAGTTCAATAATGCTACCATGGGTGCCCATCCATGCTCTGCTCCCATGGATTAGTTACCATGGCAGACCATATCAGGAATCAGATTATGTCAGTTCAAGTTCAGTTTTGATTCCATAATTGAATAGTATGTGTGATATTTCTGAAAAGAATTATAATTCTAGAAGGCATTGGCCTCTGCTTCATGCTTAGAGTGACAACCTGACAGTTTATTGCATCTGAGATAAGCATTCAGATTTTGAGCAAGATGAAAAATAATATGGAAGATATTTACAGTAAGGCAGAAAGATCTGATCTCCAAAAGGGAATCCAAAATGTGACCCCTACTTTAAGTTCAGCCTTTTTTTTTTTTACTGACCTCACCTGTTCCCCTGAATATGTGCAAGCCAAGTTCTCATGTACCAACTAGAACCTTATTCCTTGAGTCTGTACACTGATGGAAGAATGAGAAGCATAATGGTGAAAGCCTTTTCCTAAGTTTATCTATGAGGGACTTCGAAAGATTGCCTGGATTTACAAACAATTTTTGGACCAGTCATACCCTTCATGCTTTTGACTTCCCTGACTACAATGATGATTTTCATTCATTTTTGATGCTATACTGATAATCCAAGCCTGGACTGATAGTAGACTTCCCAAGTTAGTGTAGCAAGCAACTGCAATGCTGGAATTCATCCATTTATGGTAGATACCAGCCTCAGTAAGAATTCCTAAATTATGTGTCCAGCCTATTCATGGCTGCATTTCATTTCTTGCTGTTATGTCAAAGGGAAGCAATCCACTGACACATGGATGTGAGCAATGGTGGGACTTAGGTAGCCTGAAACTTTGAAACCACACATTATTTTTTATAACCGACCCAGCACTCACCTGTGAATGGCTGAAGCAGTCACACAGGCAAGTGTTTTCAGGTTGACTTCTACCCACCCTTTCCCCCTTCCCTGGTGCTGTTGTGAACAGTGCTTTCGAGACACCTAGTATTTGCAAATAGGTGTACTGATAGTAAATCTGATGGAGTTGTGTCCATGTCCATGCTGCTACTTTGTAACTTGATGATAGAGCCCATAGAAAAGCACAAAGCACATGAAAACAAGGATAGAAGTCAATTTGAGAATATTGTAGTCAGAGACAACTTTGATTCACCCCTGCCAAGTATTACCAGGTCAGTTACAAGTTTATGACAAATTTTAGGTAAGATGCCCTATATTAATGAATATGATGCTGTTACTGTTGATTACCTTTGGAACTGGTTTAAGGCCTGCCTAAAGGAAGGTGCTGATATATTTCTATCAACAAGGATTGGAGAAAGAACTGTTCACACATTCCACACCTCAAGTCACACCTAGGATTAATTGTCTCAATCAAAACTTTATAGCTTTGGTGAGTAGGCCTACAGTGTGAATGCTGGACTGATACACAGAAGGGGGGTCTAGGTGCCCTTTTGCACACAAATTAAAGAAATAACTTATTTAGAGTGTCTCTATACCATATAATCCTGGTCATGTTGACGTTGCCAGTTATAGGGTTGCATTGTTAGGTTTGTTCTTGGTTAATGAAGAAAAATGAGTTCTTCTGTGAAGAGAAGAGTCCCCAAGTGGTGATTTCCTGCTTTTGGGAAGTATAGGTATTAGTGGCTGGATATCCAAGACATAGACTTTGCATTTACAGCTGGAGAATGTCATTTCTCTTATGGCATTTTCTTATTTCAATACAATTTCCTATATCTCATTCTAATAGTTGTCCTTTGGTGGTTGTAGATGAATGGGCAATATGCACCAGTTGGAATGGACTCAGACAGGATAAATGGGCTAGATTACTTACTTAGCAGTTTTGAAGAGGTAAAGTGTTGTTGGCCTATTCAACTGATATGTGCACTTTGATGCATAATCTCTCAGTGCTTGGCTTTGGCTGAGACTGTAATTTACTTATTTGGGTCCAAGTGACCAAGAGCGATTACAGTTCATTCATGTTCTTAGCTACAATATAAAAAAATCAATGAGGGTTGTATGAAATAAGCCTTAATTTTTTTAAATGTATATCTCATTGTTTTTAATTATTTTCTATTTGCAGACTATGTCTATTTTGAGAATTCATCCTCCGCACCCTACTTGATAAGAAGAATAGAGGAACTGAACAAGGTATGTCATATTTTTTTATATCTGTTATTTTGTATAACATTGGGTCTCACCCAACAAGCATTCGTTGATATTGATAAGATGATTCAGCCAATCTTTCACCTCTATGGAAACCTTTATCCTATTGTGGAAGTATTCTGATGGGGTTTGATATGTGCAATTCAAATGCCTAGAAAATGGAAGTAAATTCTATAGCTGATGTACTTAGTGTGGGATGGTAATGAAGGAGAATGTTCCAGTAAATGCAATTTACATCAACTTTATTGGTTGCAATTCATTTTGCAGGACTGGAAACAAGACCAGTACTTAATCCTTATTCTGAGGAAAAGTCATTAG